CCCACCTTCTACTCCAAGGATAGCACAAAGAACTAAAATGCCCAGAAATGAGGGAAGGGATTGGACTCGGTGAGTCAAGGTACAGTGAAAGCAAATTTGTAGGAGACCGTCTGCCAACTAGTTGTTTGAAAACTCACACATGTCCTTACAGAGCACTGCCATGCACACATAGCCCTATTAAGGATTGGGGGGGAGGGGACAAGGAGCCAGAGACGCAGCCCCACCCGGCTGGAATCTGCAAGGACTGTGGGGAAGGACGTGCAGGTGCCGATGGGGAGGGAGCTCTGGGAGGCAGCGGAGGCGAAACGGATCAGACCATCAGAAGGTGCCAGCAAACTCCAGAGGGGTGCACGCTGGAGCCACACGTCAGGCCCTCAGAAAGTAAAGGAGAAGCTCCCACTTCTAAACTCCCTCGTGTTCTCTGCCTGGATCTTCGTGCTCCCTCCTTCTCCACATGCAGCCACGTGCGTGTCAGTGAGGAGGGGCAGGCACAGGGGGCTCGGCGGACGCGAGAACTCCTGGGAGGATGGAGCCCAGCACAGCCTCCCAGGAGGACTGGGCCTCGGGCAGGCAGCAGGGGAAACAGTCTCAGATGAGGAGGAGAGAGAAGGTGTATGGAGGAGGGAACACCTGGAAGCCCCCAGGCAGAGCTTCCGGAAGGGGCATCAGGATCGAAGGGGTGCAGGATGTGGGGACTGTCTTCTGTCCCCAACAGGTACTTGTGCTCGGAGACCACGCGGGAGGAGTGCAGAACAATCTGATTACTTTGGGGGAAGCTGAGTGTATATTTTTTAAAGCTTTCTGGAAGAAAGAATCAAGGGCCGAGCTCCGTGCCTGGGATCGCAGGGCCGCAGTGGTGATGGCGGGCTTTGTTGGCTCAGCAGCCTTTCCAATGACTACACTCGAGTGGCCTCGGGCCCCGGGGCAACTGTCAGGTGCAGAATCTGCAGAGATGCAGCCATCCTGAGATAGAGGTGGGCAGCCCCCTGACTGGAACAGATTCTAGAACCTCGGCTGATAGGATCTGGGACCTAGCAGGGGCTCGGGCCCAGCGCAGTCCAGCGGTCATGCAGCACCAGACCCAGGCTCACCTGAATAAAGCCGGGTACGGGGGCAGCAGGTGATGGCTGCCATGTCCGCCGGGAAGATCCTGATGACAGTGGCGCTGTGACATCTGCCCCGGGCGTTCGTGTTCTTCTGCATGAGAAAGAAGTGGCCAGAGGGAAGGTGAGGCGTCAGTGTGGCTCAGACAGGTGTCCACAGTCTCTGGTTCATTGCTGTTTAGAAATCACACTGTCTGTTTTTTTAACACATCGCTATAGAGAGGCGGCATGCCATGGCACAGACCCGCCTGAGTTCCCGAGTTCCTGACTCCGCGGCGACCTCGGGTACAGCGTTTTGTGTCCTCACGCCACCTGGTTTGAACCCCTGCTGCACCAGTGACCAACGAGCTGTTGGTCAAGTTACTTAGCCTCCCTACGCTCATGTCTTCATCCTCCAAACAAGGCTAGTCCCTAACCAAAGCATTATCATAAAAACTAAATGAATGTTTATAAAGTTATCTGAAGAATGCCTGGCCAACATATGCAAAAAAATAACCCAAAATGGATCAAAGGCCCAAATGTAAGAGCTAAAACTATACAAATCTTAGGAGAAGTCATGGGGGTAAATGTTCATGACCTTGGACTTGGCCATTCTTAGATGTGACACAAAAAGCACAAGAGAAAAAAGAAAAAAAATCGGTGAATTGGACTTGATCAAAATTAGAAGCTGGTCTAGCTCAGATGTCACCTCCCCCACGAAGCCTCTCTTGATCCCTCCTGACGGAGTGGGTTTTTGTAGTGAGGACCGTGACAGTGAAAGCAGACACTGTGTCGAGCCCCTCCTCTGTGCTGGGTGCCGCTCTAAGTGTTTCCGATTTGTCAGCTTGCGCATCACATCCGCCCAGGGTCAGCTTCTGCTGCTATCTCTATGACAGGTGAAGAATCTGAGCCCAGGTCACGTAGCGCACCCTCCGTGCTCCCACGGCCTGTGGCGTGGACCCTCTCGTGTGGCCTGGAGCAGACTGAGCTGGTACGGTCTGGACCCCCGTTTGCAAATGTGAGCCTCTGAGAACTGCCGCTCCCCCTTGTGTCCCCGTGTGTCGTCGGACCGACCGCCACAACTCCTGCAGGGGAGGGGAGCGAGGGAGACAGGCAGGCCTGGGGCCTGGAGTCCTGGAGGACCTTGAACCCTGGACCAGACGTTTAAGCTCAGTCCCACAGTTACCAGGAAGAAGCCACTTCAGGTTTCAAGGAACAGAATGACATGATAAAGATGGTGCTTTAGGAAAGAGAATCAGGACTATGGTGTGTGAGATGAATCAGGGGAGGGAATGACGGGAAGCAGGGACACCTGCTCCCTGTGGGTGGCACCGGGGGCATCAGCCCCAGCAGGCGAAGGGAGAAGCCCCCTGCAGGAGGGGAGCTAATGCCTCCGCACCTGGGGGGGAGGGTGACACAAGGACTGGGGCGCTGCACACAGGGAAGGCATGGAGACACTCCCAGGGCGCCGGGAACCGTGGCGATGAGCTGCGCGCTGAGCAGGGCTGGGGAGTGGCGGACTCCGCCGCTCACCCGCCCCTGTGCCTGCCCTGCCCCTGCCGGCGCCAGTCTTCAGGCACAGAGCCGCGTGGCCCTGGTCTCCGACCCCGGGAGCTCCACCTGCACGTCTGGAGGAAAACGGAAAACGCCTCCCAAGCAAAACGCGCTCTCCCCTACAACGTGTTTCTTTTCATTTTCCTTCCATTAAAAATAAAACCAAGGTGATAAAAGATTTAATATCTATCACAGCACATTTTATTCACTCAAAATATTAATTGGCTGCAGTCTGACTTGATTCAAAAATTTATTATAGGCTTAGAATACATAAAAGAAGTTAAAATTTAGTGATAACATCTTTCCCTTAGGCAAACTTACGAGAACAGCTACTGAAGTTAAATTAGGATGTATACTTGTGTCTGGAAGTTTTCCAGCTCCCTTCTGGTCGAAGGGAATCCTTGAAGCGCCAGGCGCCCTGAGCAGAAAACTGATGCTTGTGCTTTCAGATCTGCCGTCGGTGAGAGCCACCTGGGGAAACCATCTTTTGTGCGTTTTCAGTAAAAAAAAAAAAAAAAAGTTAGTATTTCCACCCCTTCCTGTGCGGTGCAAAATACCCCTCCCTTTGTGGTCTCTTAAATGACACTGACAGCATGTTTTTTAGTCTCTTTAAAAGAAGAACACCTGGTTTGAGTCCTGTGCCTGGCCCACGCGGCTCAAGTTTCCGTGGACATGGCCCCATGGGCACGGAAGGCAGGGGTGCAGATGCAAAAACTCGGGGCACAACAGATCAGTACCTCAGAGAGCGCGGACATTCTGTTGGCTCGTTTTTACTTGCAGAGCTTCAGGAGACATTAGGTTTCTCCTGGGCCATGGGTTTCTAAATTTGGCTGCACGTTGGAATCACGTGGGATTTTTCTTTAACATTCTGATTCCTGGCTCTCACCCCTCGATACTGATCACTGGGCTGGGCTGATGAACCGGACAGTGGGATTTTTAAGAGCTCCCCGGGTCATTCTAGTGGGCACCAAAATTCAAGAGCCACTGACCGAGACTGTCCTCTCCCTCCACGAATGGGTCACCACCACCCAGCGGCTCAGGAACGGCTTTGCCTCGCGTCGGCCCGTCACCCAGACCTGGGTTCACTGAGCATGGTCAACAGACCCTCACAGCTGTCCCCTGGCTGGTGTCTCTACCGCCCCCTCATGAGCACCCTCGGATGACGGGGCCAGGCACACGGACCCCGTGTGGCCCCGCCGCCTTCTCATCACCAGAAGACTCACATCTAGCCATACTGCTCCCTGCTGCCGGCGGGGTTCCACACGAGGAGCCAGTCCTGCCGGCCCCTGGCTCCCCCTGCCACCTTGCCCCCGATAGGACAGCCCGCACGGAGCCCCTGTCCACCTCCGCCGACACCCCGCGCCCCCCTCGGCTCGGCTCTCCTCCCATTCGGTTTCCTCCGTGCGGCGAGGTTCTCAGCCCGCCTCCATCCTGCTCTTCACGGGGCTGCAGCATGAACAGCACTTTCTCGAAACCCCGTCCCCTGGCGCAGCACAGGTGACCCTTGAGGACTTTATGCTGAGTGAAATAAAGTCGCAGAAGGACAGACACCGTGTGATTCCATTTACACGAGATGCTCCGAGTCACCAGATTCGTGGAGGCTGATGGGAGGGGTGGGGGGGCGCCAGGGGCTGGGGAGGGGTGAGCGTCAGTGTTTCGTGGGGACAGAGTCTCAGCTGGGGACGACAGGAAAGTTCTGGAGATAGCAACCACGATCGTGGCACATAGTGTGAATGTGAGCAATGCCACCAAATTATACACTTAACCATGGTTATGGTGGCAAATTTTGTGTCGTGTATATTTTTCCACAATAAAAAATTTTCCCGTCATGTTCTCAGCGCCTCCTTTGACCTAAATTAGGGAATCCTGTTATGTCTTCCCGGAGCTCCCCCTGCCCCGATCAGAACATTTTCCTGGTAAAGTTTGTCTTCTTTCCCGGATTGTAAGGAGAACAAAAGCACATTATATGTCCCACCCCATTAATCACAGCGCCTCAGAGGAGGTGCCACTAAGTAATCATAATGACCATTGAGTGAATAAATGCCAGGTTCCCAGTGTTTCCGCCCCCCTATCGGAATTGCTAGAACAGTACAGTAATGGAAAACAGTCATTGCGGTTTGAGTGGAAGTGCCTAAAGTATGAGACCACACGTTGTCCCGTCCTGGGGCAAACTGTGTGAAGTAGGGATGGGGGGAGCCGTAGGGCTACGTGGGTGAGCCCCAGATGACCCCGACACTGGCTTTGTTCTATCGGAGAAATGCAGCAGGCCAAAGCAAACCACACCACCGACTTCAGATTTCTTAAGAGCACCCTATTTAGAACCACGTCCTGCATTAACACTGTGTTTTCTCTCCTCCCAATTAGATATTTATCTTCGAAAACAACATCTACTACTGTGCGCACGTCGGGAAGCAGGCCATCCGTGTGGTCTCGACTGGAAAGGAGGGCGTGATCTACAATGGCCTCAGCGACTGGCTGTATGAAGGTGAGCCACACGGTGGGCTGGACGGCTCTGTGGGCCCTGCTGCCGCGAGACCGGCGGTGGTGGTGGTTGTCGCCTTTGACCTCTGCTGTAAGTTTACCTCCCGTTTCTTGAGGTTCCGCCAGGTTACAAAGACGCTGTTGGAGCGTCAGGGAGCATCAGGCCGTCAGTGGGAGCCCTCACCCAGTGGCCAGGTGCACAGAGCTTTCCAGGACCCAAGCTCCTGGCGGAAGGGGCAGGAGGCGCTGTTCTGGGAGGTCCGCGAATGCCCAGGTTTCCCGAGCCCCTCCCCAAGAGGTAGGGTGTCTTGTTTTGCCCGGGGGTGGAGGGAGAGCTGGAGAAGAAATAACGGGCAGAGCTTTCCGAAGAAGCCGGTCCGGGTGATTTGCTGTTTCCAGGACACGTGCCCTGCTGCACGTTTTCTCCTGCTGGCTTTCCTCTGCGCCAGAGTTCTCCACTGGAAAGCATTATCGAATAACTAAAAATGTGAGCGGGAGGCTCTCTTCCTAAACATTTATAGTCTGTCTCCACACGGATGAGACTTTTGTCGTAACAGCAACGATCATGTATTGATCGCTGTTGCGTCCTGGTCGCTGTTCTGAGCCCTTTCTCATCTGTAGCCTCATTTAACCGTCTGGGCGTCTGAGTCATCTCTAAAGGGCACTGTAGACAGGGGGCTTAAACAACAAGCATCTGCTCCTCACCGTTCTGGGGGCTGCAAGTCCGAGATCAGGGCGCCAGCCGATCCGGTGTCTGTCGAGGACCCACCTCATAGACAGAGTCTTCACTGCGCCCACACACGGCAGAGAGGGGGAGAGAGAGAGAGCTGGTCTCTTCATCCCCTTATCAGGGCACTGATCCCACCATGGGGGCTCCCCCCTCATGATCTCATCCCCTCCCAAAGACCCCACCTCCTAACACCATCCTACTGGGGACTCAGGCTTCAGCGTGAATTCTGGGGGACACGTTCAGCCCATAGTGCCCTCACAACGACATGGTGACAGGAGTACCATTGGCATTTCCCACATGAGGCAAGAGAAGCTTAGGTGATCTGCCAAAGTTCACACAAAGCTAAGGAACAGGTACTGGGGAGTATCATTGTTCAAGTCCAGGACAATTCCTTTCTACAAATCCAGGTGTGGATCAGGATGCTTCTGCACCAGCACTGGGCCGATAAAGAGATTATGTCTCCTGCACCTACCTGCCTGAGACCACGTGGCCGTGGTGACAGTTCACCATGCTAGGCCAAGGGGAGGTCAAGGAATTCTCAAGCCCAGAAAAGACCGTTTTTCCTCAGTGCTGTGCATTCCTCAAGCCAGGACTCTGCACTGTGGGGCTTTATGCACCAACAGGCCTACAGCAGAGAGATCCGTAAGCTTAGTATCAGTTACCACCATCAGTTCACTGAGGTCTCCGAAGCATAAAAACCTACGACTTGGTTTCTTGTATAAGTTGTATACAACGAAATGCACAATCATCAGGACACGGTTTGGCATGAGTTTGACAGATGTCTGTACTGTGCCCCCCAGTCAAGACATCGAGAATCCCGTCATGGGATTGTTGGGTTGTTGGGTTGTTGACAACTCAGAAAGTTGTCCTGAGCCCCTTCCTGTTCCATCCCCCACCTGAGTCTCCCTTCCTGATACCACGGCCAACCTGATTTCTGTAGGGCCTGTTTTCCAGCAGACATGCCAGAATGGGGGTGCCCATCAGGGCTGTCCTCTCCAGGGTGGTCACCCCTCCAGGGGGTTTATTCTAACATGGGGCTGGCAAGGCTCAGAGCACTTAGGATTCCAGATTTTGAGTTGCTTTCTGGGCCCCAGGAGAATCAACCTGAAGATTTTTTTGCTATATTGTCCTTGGCCCCACCTGAGGGTGTCACT